GATATATATATATACTGCTTGCTCAGATGTTCATTGAAAGCATATAGATTTTTTTCACATATATTATTTTACCAAATTAGGATTATATTACATTTCTGCATTTTGCCTTTGTCACTCAAAAATACCCTGTTATATAATTATGTCCCTACTTATGGACATTGATTTTGTTTCTTTCCTTATTTATTGCACCTACCAACTATATCTCAGTAAAGTAGTACTTTTGGGGGGTGGCATAGATTCTCAGTATTGGGGTTTTTAGATTGAATTGTGTTTTTAATTTTAACAGTTGTTGCCAGGTTGATATAATATTTCTACAGGTTTATTATAGTATAATTACATTTTTTATTAGTCAACAATAAGAGAAAGTACCTCTTTCCATTTATCTCCACCGACAGTGTTTCTTTTAAGTTTTTGTCAGCTGATGGAAAGAAACAAATTACATCTTAATTACTCTCATGATACCTCTGTTGAGGTCTCCAAGATTCCTGACATTCCTAGGTTTGGTGATTTTATAGAATTTTGAGCACTCAGCATATATTCATACTTCCTGCTCTGCTTTATTAATTATAACAAAAGGAAATAAAGCAAAATCAGCAAGTGGATAAGCTCATGGGATGAACTGTGGTAGAAATCAGGCAGTTTCTCATGATTTTCTTCCAGTGGAGTCACATGAAACACATGAATTCCTTCAGCGACAAATTGTGGTGTCATATATAAAATGCAGTCTACCAGAAACCTGTTTAGAGATTCAGTCCGTAGAATTTTTTATTGGGAAGGGGCCACATAGTTGTTGTCTATCTCAAATGTTATCAGCATTCCAGACTTCCAGAAGGAAAGCAGGTATTCAGGATAAACCACATTGTCTGCAGTTTCGGTATAGTGAGCAGCTCTCACTAGTTATTGTGGTGGGAATCCTTCTAGAAATTTAAATTCGAAAAGCCTAAAACCTTGCAAGCAGGCTTTCTAAGGATAGCAGTCTCTGGCCTGCTATGCTGTCCTTTCTTTTTCCTTGTTTTTTAAGTAGCTTTATTGTAATATAATTCACATGTCATACAATTCACTCATTGAAAGAGTACAGTTCAGTGGTTTTTAGTATATTTACAGGAAGGTAAACCTATCACCACAATTTTAGAACATTTTCATCACCTCAGAAAGGATCCTTGTACCCCTTTGGTTTCACTCTTCCCTTCTCATCTCTATAGCCCCACTTCTCCAGTCCAAGCAACCACTTATCTCCTAACTGTCTGTAGATTTCCCTGTTCTGGACACTTTGTATGAATGGAGTTGTAACATGTGGTCATTCCTGAATGAAGTCTTTCACTTAGCATATTGTAGCATGTAAAAGTACTTCTTTTCTTTTTATGGCTGAATAATATTCCATTGTTTGAGTATGTATACACACATACTCACTCATACTGTATGTTGTTTATCCCTTCATTAGTTGATGAACATTTGGGTTGTTTCCACATTTCAGCTGTTAGAAACATTGCTGTGTTAGCTCTTTCCTCCATAATCTCCCAAGTATTTATTGAAAGAATAAATATAGAATCACATTTGCATTCCTGGAATAAACCCTCCTTGATTATTATTCTTTTGAATAGTGTACATTATTCTTTTGACACATTGATAGATTATATCTGCTAGTGCTTTATTTACAAGTTTTGTATCCAAGTCACATTAGTCTGAGGTTTATCATGTTTTGATATTAAGGCTATGTTTGCTTCATGAAATGATTTGGGATACTTTGTATATTATTTTCCATCTGGTCTGCAATAATATGTTAGAATTAACAGTTCTTTAACTTTTAGATAAAATTGAACTTTGAATCCATCTGATTCAGAAGGCTTTTTCAATGGGAAAACTTTTGTTTCCATATTATTCTAGATTTTGAAAATGTTTTCTACTTTTTCTTGGGTTAATTTTGTTAATTTGTATTTTGCTGGGAAATTACCTGTTCCTTTAGGTTTTAAAAGTTATTGCCCAAAGACTTAAGACATAAGTTGCTTGTATATCTGTGGTCATTTCTCATTTATCAATCTCTTTGGTGTTGATATACCTCTTTTCCTTCCTTTCTTTAATCAGGCTTGTGAAGATTTTATGTTCTATTAGTTTTTACAAAAGTTTACTTTTGAATTTCTTTTTTCTTTCTGTTGTTTGCCTGTAAACGGACTTGAAAATCTCTTTTTCTCTCTCTCTTTTCAGTGTAAGTCTTCATAATTTTCATCCTATTTCCTTCCCCACATCATGTTTGGATTTTTTGTTACCTATTTTGTCTCTGAGGTTTTGGGCTTTAATTCTGGAAAAATCTTAGTCATTTCTTAAAATATTTACTCAATTTACTTTATCCTCTTTCTGGGAATCCTTTTAGGTAGTATTGATTTCATCCCTGCCTTTTAGCTTTTTCAAAATGTTTGTATTTTCCACTTCTTTATTCCTTTTTTAGTGCTTTGTAGGAAAATTTCCTGACCTGAACTTACTACTCAATATGGTTTTTGCTCTATTAATTTTGCTAGTTAGCTCATTCTTTTCAAAATTTCAGTTGTAAGTTTATTTTAAATTTGTGTTCCCTTTGGTCTGTTCACTCTGTTTTCTGTGTTAGCGGATGTTCAGTTTGTTGCCTTTGTTTCACCTTTCTGGGCCTCCTCAGGTGTCTGGTCCTCTTTTTCTTCGAGTACCAAGTTACAAACTAATGATATTTACATGAGACGTGTGAAAGCACTAGGCTGTCGCTTGTGTTTCTTTAGATGATTTCTGAGAGTAGAGGTGGGATGTGAGTAGAGGGGCTTGATTTGGAGTGATGCAGATTGAGCGTTGGTTCCCAAAAGAAATTTCTGTTTCTGTGCCTAGCGGCATGATCTTCCCCAGATCCTGCTGTCCTCTGTTCTATTTCAGAAGTAGGGGTGAGGGCAGAACACACATGCGCCTAGCACATACTTGCTACCATTCCCAAATTGGTTGTGATCTAGGGCTTTTCTGCTGTTATAATCTCTCTTACCCTCCAGATGGCAGTAGGGTGGTAGCTGAACTTTCCTGTTTTGTTGCATTGTGTGAGGTGGGAATTCTCTGCCAGTGAGGAATGGAAAAGGTCTTAACTAGAAAGATCTTTTCCAGTCTGTAACACTTGGCCCTCTCTATATATTAGCTGCTGTTTCCTTCCCACTTTAGAAGCCAGTTACTTTTGGTGTCCTTAAGGTTTCTTTTGTGTAATCTCCAGACTTGGGCTGCAGGTAGGGAACCAGAAGTGTATACTAATTTGATGTCTTGTGCAAGAATGGAAGCCAGAGTATTTTTAAATTATCTGTTCCTGTCTTTGCTTTTCACAAAACTAAGCTCAGTAAAGGTAGAGATTGTTTCATATACCTTAGGACAGTTTATGGTACGAACTGGGTGCCTAGTAAATGATGAAAGAATATAATTTCAAAAGGATTCTTTCATCAAAAATATAAATTTACTACCAATATAGAGCTCTCTTAATGTTGTAAAATTATGCATTTATTAACAGCTTAATTTGTATGAAAGGTTTGGGAATCATTCAGATCACTTTAGAGAAAGTTGCAGCCCACAGAGTTAAAATAAAAAGAAAACAACTAACATAGTATAGTGTTTTGGATTTCCTGAAACATGTAATCTATGTTAATCGGGGCTGTTATTGTTGTCTCCATTTTATAGATGAAGAAGCCAGGGAGAACAAGGATTTATCTAAGACTAAATAGCTAATAAATGATGAGCTAATATATGGGGTTGGAAACAAGTCCTGACTTTAATTCTTTAGATAAGATGCTTTATTCCTCAGTGCTTTCCTGTATTAGTGGGTATTTGACCAATGGTATTGTTCTGATCCCTGCCATTCTGTCTTATCTTTTTGTGCTGTGAAAATGGAGCTCATGACTTTAAAAGAGTTTAAAGCTGAAGTCCTTAACAGAGGTTTTTCAGTACGCCCACATGATCTGTTTCCCATCCCTCCTTTTCAGCTTCTCTTTGTTTATATTCCTCACGCCACATTGGGCTGCTTACTGTTTTTCCAGTATGCCAAGCATTCTATTCACTCTGCTAGAAACACCTTCTTCCAGGTGACATCTTTACCTCCTTCAAATATTTGTGCTAAGTTAACCTGTTCAATTAGATTTCTCATAACTATCCTATTTCTCTCTCATATTATATACATTTTCCATCCTCTTTCCTTGCATTGTTTTCCTGTTAGCACTCAGCACATAACTCTTCCAATACAAGATATGATTTGTTATTTATTGTATTAATGTTTGCCTTTCCTCATTATTAAATTGTCCAGTGCCTGGCACAGTACCTGGCTCAGTAAACGTTTGTTCAGTGAATGGACATAAGAAGGAAATTTAATCGGTTAAACAAGACCTTGTTAGTAATACTTGTTTTTAATGAAGTTTTAAAGTCCTTTTACTCAGGATCATGCATTCATGAATAGCATAGAAATTTACTTCACTAAGTTTACTAAGATTCGTTTATCACTTTAAAGTTTCTTCTGAGTTTTAATGTATACCAATTTATGTAAAATTTATTGGAAAAATTTATTTGTCACTTTAAGGTTTCTTCTGAGTTTTAATGTATACCAATTTATGTAGAATTTCTTGGAAAAATAATATGATTCTGTGCAAGACAGGTAACAACATAGAGTGTGTATTTGTTTTAATAAACAAAGCAATTTAGTGTTGACAACAAAGTTAGTATTTTTGAAAATACTGGCTGAGATCCAATTTAATTACAGTTTCCTTTAGAATATTTTCCTTATGAAACCAGTGACCACTGAAATCTTCAAGTATGTAGTGATTGATGTCACACTGATACTTTAAAAAATTGTTAAAGAAGAACAATGTTTTCTTTTTTATATTTTAGAACATTATTTATTATAATCCTTTTATGATTATATATTCAGTATTTGTATTCAAATAGTAAAACAGGAATTTTCTTGTTTAGCCATTCTTGATTAGCTTTTGCTTTTATTTAAACATTTATTTTCTTTCTTGTAGATTTGCTTTGAGGTCACATTGATAAGAAATATGGAGCCACCTTTGATAACTTCACTTGTGAAAGAGAGAGTCTTCTTTTTTACTAAAAAAACATAAGGAAAACAAATGACCAAAGGAATCATGCCAGATGGGAACTCAACATCTTTTTCTATCATCTGTTTTTTAAACCATGAAGATAAATGGCTTGTGCTTTAAAGAATATTATTTGTTCATCGACATTGTTTTTAGCAGTTTAAAAAAAATCCATTTTTACCTTAACTATACAACTCTCTTATAAAATTTAATGCATATAAAAATCTTTAAGATTTCTTTTTTTAGAACTTCAGTGTTTATATACCCTATTTTTGCTTGACAAAGTCATCAGAAATATACAGCATCAGGAAAGATATGGTACTTGGAAACTTATGTTACTGTAATTGACTACAGTGAATTTAAGTGGACAATTCAAGACATCATCCCATTTATCATCAGAAATATCACATAAACATATAATTCTTGGCTTTAATGTAAACAATTTTCTTGAAAATGGCATGGGTAAAATTCTTACGGAAACCTAGTGGCAATCTTGGAAAAGTTTATCAACCTGGAAGTATGCTCTCCCTTGCCCCTACCAAAGGCTTGTTAAATGAACCAGGACAAAACAGCTGCTTTCTTAATAGTGCTGTACAGGTGAGACCATAATTTCTTATTAAATTTACAAAAGTGCTTTTCAGGAAATCCTTTGTTTAATGTTTCTTAAAGTGTAAGATTAAAGTTTTTGTTGCCTGAAATGACTTTTTAATATTACTTTTAATGGTATCAAAGATATTTTGACTTAGAATTTTGTTTTTTTATTATAAACAGAAATTGATATTATTTATTTAATATAAATGGGAATGGTTTTGCAACAGAATAATGTATTACTATGATATAAAATATTTTGATTTAAAATGTTTACTTAGTAAATTAAAATTATGTATCTAAAATATATAAAATAATTTCTTAGAGTCTGCTAATCTACCCCCCACTACTCCCTCCCCACACACACTTTTTTTTTAAAAGGAATCCAATAGAATCCCTGTAGATAGCTTGGGTTGAAATGAGAATGCGGTTTTAATTCTCAGGACTCAAACTTCCTTCAGCCTCCACTCTGACCTTAAATCGCTTCTCTGGAATCATATTTGGACACCATTGTTAGTGGAGTTGAAGATTGATTCATTTTGCTCCAGTCCTTGTTAAAATTCTTTTAATTAACAACTATGTGCTAACCTGCTTTTCTTCTTTAGATAAATATCCTTTCTTATGTAAGATGTAGTTTTTTTTCAGTAGTTCCAGATTTTGTAGGATCTTATGTCTTTCTGACCATTGACTGTATAGTACTAAAGATGAGGAAGATTTAGAATATTGGAATGTTGGAATGTTATTCTATTGACTGTAAAATATACCTTAAAAGAATTTATTTAAAATAAATCACTTCTCACATATTTTTCCATTATTTTTTTTCTCCTGAAAACAGTAGAAAGAGAAATATTGGTTAATTAACTCATATGATAAATGAACATATATAGAATGTGTCACATGCTTACACATCTGACTCAGATTTGTTTTCTCAATTGTTCTCTGTCTGAGACAGATGTTAAACTTGAAAGTTCTGTAATTTGCTCAGGGAAAGAGATCTAATTGGCATTCTAAAGTGCATTGGGACCCTTAAATGGGAGACACTCTTCTGCTGTGGCCAAAAGTTTTTACTGGCATTAAGTGCTATGAAAATTGCAGGAAAATATTTATTGACCATCACTGCATATAGGGAAATAGTTTATACCAAAAGACTTAGAAGTAAATGCTTTTGTTTAAATCAGGCTGTGAGAAAGGGTTTCTATCACTTTAAATCTTTTTCTGTTAACCCTTTTCCAGTTCTTTTTTTATGTTTATGTATTTCCTTCTATTTCTGTAGCTCCCAAATGCTGTGTGTAGTTAGTGAGATGAAAAGCATGTTATAACAAAATTCTGAGTAAGGACACTTATGGTAAAGAAAATGGAGAAGTATTCCAATGAGTATATATATAATATAATAATAATGTATATAATAATATAATCATTCCAATGATTATATATATAATACATATATAATACATATTTTTTTAATGAACAGTCCAGTGATCTTTACTATGAAGGTTGTTAAATTTCTGCTGCTCTTCACTCCTTTATGTAGATTCAGCATTTCATCTGATATCATGTATTCTCCTTCAAGGACCTCTTTTAACATTTCTTGTAGGTCAGGTCTGTCGTTGGTGAGTTCTTTCAGCTTTAGTGTTTCTGGAAAAAAATCTTTTTCACTTTTGTTTTTGAAAGATATTTTTCCTAATTAAAGAAGTCTAAGTTGGCAGTTTTTCCCTTTCAATACTTTAGAGATTTTGGTCCTTTGACTTCTACCTTACATTATTTCTAGTGAAAAACTATTGTCATTCTTTGTCTTCTGTATGTAATGTGTCCTTTTTTTCTGGCTCCTTTTAAGATTTCTTTTTCACTACTTTAAAGCAATTTGATATTGATGTGCCTTGACATAGTTTTCTTCATGTTCCTTGTGTTTGGGTTTATTGAGCATCTTAGATCTGTGGATTTATAATTTTAATCAAATTTGTAAAGTCTTTGATCATCATTTCTTCAAATTTTTCTGTCTCTTCCTTTGAGGGACTGCAATTGCATATAGTTGTTTATCTTAGGTTGTCCCACAGCTCACTGATACTCCCTTAATTTTCATTCTCAGTCTTTTTTTCTTTCTTTCTGTTTCCTTTTTTATGGTTTCTATTACAGTGTTTTCAACTTCATTAATCTTTTCCTTTGCAACGTCTAATCTGCTATTAATCCCATCCAGTATATTTTAAATTCAGACATTGTATTTTTAACCTCTAGAAGTTTGAGCTGGGTCTCTTAAAAATCTTTCAACTCTTTACTTAACATGTTCATTCTCTTCTACAGCATCTTGAACATATGAAATACAGTTATAATAATATTTTTAATGTACCCGTCTACTAATTCTGTCATTCTGCACACTCTGGGTTTTGACTGATTTTTTTTTTTTCTCCTCATTTGGGAATATAGTTCCTTGTTTATTTTAATGCCTGGTAATTTTTGATTGGGTGTCAGATATTTTGAGTCTTATTTTATTGGGTGATAGATATTTTTTATTCCTAGGAATGTTCTTGAACTTTCTTCTGGGATAAAGTTGCTTTATTTAGAAGCTGTTTGATCATTTTACTTTTAAGCTTTGTTAGGCAGTCCCAGAGTTGTGTTTATTCCAGGATTAATCAGAATAGAGTAATCTGGATAAGACCCTTCCTTCTTTAGCTAATGCTCTGTGGATTATGAAGCATTCTACATTGACTATTAGCAACACTATCCTAGGCAGGTAAGAGCTCTGGGCACTATCCCCTCTAATTTGGGGGAGGTATTTCTTTTCTCAGCCTCAGGTAGTTTCCTCACAGTATTTGCCTGAATACTCAACAGGGAACCTTTGTAGAGCTGTGGTGTTTACTCTGTGTGCAGCTCTCTCCTCTGCTGTACTCTGCCCTGCCAACTCTAGCTGCTTTAGCATCTCTGAACTTCCACCTCTATCTCTTCAGCTCAGGAGATCTGTTGGCCCAAATATTAAAATGTCTGCCATAAACTAATTTGCAAAGCCAGTCTTCACTAACAAGACAGGTATTCAAGTATATATTTTCTGATAGAAAAAGCCTGACTTCATTTTTTAAAATGCAGTCTGTAAATATTATTATACATTTTGATGAATAGTTTTTAAAATTGCTGAGAAATAAATTGTGGAATATGTCTTATAAGAAATTATTAAAAGTGGACATTATTAAAATGTACTGTTTTCAGTAGTTGCTGCACTAATTTACATTCCTACCAACAGTGCCTGAGGGTTCTCCTTTCTCCACATCCTCACCAATACTTATTATTTCTTTTCTTTTTTGACAGTAGCCAATCTGATAGGTGTGAAGTCATATCTTACTGTGGTTTTGATTTGCATTTCCCTGTTGAACATATTTTCAGATCTCTGTTGGCTGCCTGTATGTTTTCTTTGGAAAAATGTCTATTCAAGTCCCCTGCCCATTTTTTAATCAGGTTATTGATGATGTTATTGATATTAAGTTTGATAAGTTCTTTATATATTATGGATAGCAGCCCCTTACTATATATATGAGTTGCAAATATCTTCTCCCAATAAGCAGGTTGCCTTTTTGTTTTGTTAATGGTTTCCTTGGTGTGCAAAAACTTTTAGTGTAATATAATTCCATTTGTTTATATTTACTTTTTTGCCCTTAGCAAAGAGACTGGTCAAAACAAACTATATATATATCTAAGACTGATGTCAGAGAGCTCACTGCATTTCTTTTCTTCTAGAAATTTTATGGTTTCAGGTTTTACATTCAAGTCTCTAATCCATTTTGAAGTTTTTTTGTATGTCATGTAAATGTGGTTCAGTTTCATTCTTTCCCGTGTAGCTGTCCACCTTTCCTAACACCATTTATTGAAGAGACTCCGATATTTTCTTCATTGTATAGTCTTGGCTTCCTTTGTCACACGTTAATTGACTATATATGCATGTGTTTATTTTGAGGCTCTCTATACTGTTCCATTGACTTATGTGTCTGTTTTCCTGCCAGTACCATACCATTTTGATTACTATAGCTTTGTAGTGTAGTTTGAAATCAGGAGGCATGATGCCTCTAGCTGTGTTCTTCCTTCTCGAGATTACTTTGGCTATTTGGGTACTTTTGTGGTTCTATACAAATTTTGGGTTTATTTTTACTTCTGTGAAAAATGTCATTGCTATTTTGATGAGCATTGCATTGAATCTGTAGATTGCTTTGGGTAGTATGGATATTTTAACAGTATTAATTCTTCCAGTCCATGAACATGGACTATCTTTCTATTTGTATCTTTTTTTATTTCTTTCAACAATGTCTTACAGTTTTCAGAGTATAGTCAGAGCTTATTTTATTGTGCTTTACCTTATTACACTTTGCAGATACTGCATTTTTTTACCAATTAAAGGTTTTTTCGCAACCCTACATCAAACATGTCAGTGGACACCATTTTTCCAATAGCATTTGCTCACTTGGTGGCTTTGTCATATTTTTGTAATTCTTGCAGTATTTCAAACTCTTTCATTATTACTATATTTGTTATGGTGATCTGTGGTCACTGATCTTGATATTACTATTGTAATTGTTTTGGAGCACCACAAACTACTCCTATATAAGATGGCAAACTTAATTGATAAATGGTATATGTGTTCTAAGTGCTCCATTGACCAGCTGTTCCCTCATCTCTTTTCATCTCCTTGGGCCTCCCTATTCCATGAGACACAACAATATTGAAATTAGGCCAGATAATAACCCAGTGCCCTCTAAGTGTTCAAATGAAAGGAGTTCATGTCTTCTTTATTTATATTTTTTAAGAAAAGTATGTATGGGGGCGCCTGGGTGGCTCAGTGGGTTAAAGCCTCTGCTTTCGGCTCAGGTCATGATCTCAGGGTCCTGAGATCGAGCCCCGCATCGGGCTCTCTGCTCAGCGGGGAGCCTGCTTCTCCCTTCTCTCTCTGCCTGCCTCTCTGCCTACTTGTGATCTTTCTCTCTGTCAAATAAATAAATAAAATCTTTAAAAAAAAAAAAAAAAAGAAAAGT